TACACAGAAGTAAGCATATTATACATACTGATTCACGACCTACTTCTAAAAAATATTTGCTAAACTTGAGAGTGAAATATGTACTTCATTGTTTTCATTTGCTTAGTCTCCACCCAGCTGCCAAATTGGTCCTTAAAAAAAAAAAAAAGTCAAATAAGTCAAATCATGTGACTCCTCTGCTCAAAACACTCCAGTCGTGTCTCATCTCAGAGAAAAACTAAAACCAAAGTTCTTACAGTTGTTTTTAAGGCCTTCTAGGAATGATCATCTCTTTGTGCCTATTTGGGGCCCTGGTGGCACAGTGGTTAAGCGTTTGGCTGCTAACCAAGAGGTCAGTGGTTTGAATCCACCAGCCGCTCCTTGGAAACCCTATGGGGGGTTCTACTCTATCCTATAGGGTCACTATAAATCTGAATTGACTCCATGGCAATGGATTTTTGTTTGTTTGTTTGTTTGTTTCGTCCCTGTTACCTTTCTGATCATAATTCCTACTATTCTTCCCTTCACCCATCCACTTCAGACACACTGGCTTCTTTGCTTTTGTTTGAACATGCTAAGCACACTCCTGCCTCAGGACATTTGCACTTGCTGTTCTCTCTGCCTGAAAGGCTTTCCCACAGATATCTGCATGACTGGCTCCTTCATCTCCTAGATTATCTTTGCTCAGAATGTGACCTTCTCCATGACAACTTCAATAACCAGCCTGTGTAAAACATCCTTTATCTTTTTTCCATGATTTATGTGAGAGGACTTATTATCTTTTAACATACTATATAATTTTCATCTCCTACCAGCACCCACTAAAATATAAGCTCTATGAGAATATTTTTGTCTATTTTGCTCAGCGAGGTATCCTTTGTGCTGAGATCAGTGTCTGGCATTTAGTATGTGCTTAGTAAATATTTGCTGAGTGAATGTTTTAATGTATTCATTGGTCATTTATGTTTCTCCTCTCATGAATTGCTTGTCATGTTCTTTGCTTATTTTCTGTTGAGATGTTCAACTTATTTATTATACAAGCACTTGGTATTTTAAGGATATCAGCCCTGTGTCATTTATATGGCACATATCATATGGCAAAAGAAAAAAGTTTTTCTTCTGTCTTTTAATATTGTGTGTGTGTAATATTTGGATTTTCACATATGCAAATCTAGAATCTTTTCCTTTATGATGCTGTTTTACATTAATTAGGACAAGTTGGTAAAAGAAAAATTTTACTTTTAAGTGTATTTAGTCTAAGTATGGTTGTGCCCAAAATTTCTCCTACATTTATTATAATTGAGTTTCTACTATTTGTGGAGTCGGATAAACACTACTTAAAGAGTCTGAGTAATGATTTAAACCTTTTGATTGATAATTACATTTATAGGATTCTTGTTCTCATTGTGGATTATCTGGTGAGCAAGGAAGTTTAAACTGTTACTTAAATCTCTCCTTTTATATTAACTTAAGAATAACAATATGATGTGCAGGGCTATTAAAATACAATTACAAAACAATTATGTGTCTGTTTATAATATTTGTATATATTTATTACATTTTAAATATATTCCCCACATACATAGAAATTATACAGTCTTTCTACTGAACTGTAAATCTAAATCATTAGGGTCTTATTAAGTGCTGGAACATTAACGGTAATAGAATCTACTTACAAATTCAATTCTGTGTTTGACAGTCCTTTCAAAACTAAACTTGGTTGCATACATTTTATTTTTCCACCCCCTTTCTGAATTTCAAATGTTAAAAATGTCAAGTTGCTTAATGTAATATTTTGAATTTTTACAAATACTAATTTCATTAACCAAATTTTAAATTTGTATTTTTATTGAGAATGCTATAAAATATAGAAATATGATCATTATGCTAGCTTTTGGAAACAGAATGCCAATTCTTCCTTCATTATTTTTTTGCTTTTTGTTGTTTGAAAGTAGTGCTTTTACTTCATTATTCAATCATGCCTTTTTGTTATACTTGATTCTGTTAGTATGCTGATAGATATAAAAATTAATTCAGTCCTTTGAAACTTAAAAATAATAGCAAGAAAAAATTGTTTATATGGCATTAAAAAAAAAAAACCAAACCCATTGGCGTCAAGTGGATTCTGACTCATAGTGACCCTACAGGACAGAGTAGAACTACCCCATAGGGTTTCCCAGGAGAAGTGGATTCAACCTGCTGACCTTTTGGTTAGCAGCCAAGGTCTTAGCCACTGAGCTACCAGGGCTCCTTTTATGGCATGGTGGACCATAAAGCACTTTAATATATTTTCTTTTTAATACTTTTCCTCAAAGTATTCAGAAACTTTAAAATAGTTTGTTCTGGATGGGGTTATTTTCCTCTTTCATCCACAATAAAGTAAGTTATCTGAATTCTTTAACTTACACATTACTATTAAATTGGAGTATTTAATAAGGATTACATTAATGAAGTAGCACAAGAATGGAAACCAGATTAAAAAAAACTTTCATAAAGTAAGTAAATTGTTTTATTCTCCTCCACGAGGTTATGTGTGGGGCACACAGGAATCAGTTTGGACTGGGTGAAACAATGTAGAGTTAGAATTCCTGGCTTCTACCTGTTGCAGGGTAAAAAACATCACAAAATTTAGTAAAGCAAAAAAAAAAGTTTTATTTGGCATATAATCAAAGAGGCAAAAGTAGGAAGCAGACAAGCATGCTGCCACAGCCATGTCTGTCTGAGTCCAGAGAATATTACAGAATAGACAAGGGTGGGAAAACGGACAAGCATACTGCCACAGCCATGTCTGTCCAAATCCAAAGAATATTACAGAATAGGCAAGAATGGGAAAATAGACAAATATGCTGCCACAGCCATGTCTGCTGAGTCCAGAGAGGATTACAGAGTCATCAGTACATACTAACATTACAAATGGGCAAAACCATTGACAGTCTCCCCTTTTCACAGATTGGCTAGAAACTGTGATCCTACATTTTGAATTGTCTTTCTTAACAATCAGTTGGTACAGGTTTCAGTAATGACAGTCAGGAAGGTCTTCACTGGTCCAACAAATTTCTTCTATTCACTAAATGCTAATAGAAAAAGATAGAGGAGTGGAAAGTCTTTTGTGTTCTGTTTGAATGGTTTTACCTGAAAGTTTCCCTAAAAGATATTTTTCTTCCCTGAAAGATAATTTCCAAGATTATCCTAGCTATTGTCTTTATCTCAAGGCCCAGTTGATGTGAGTCCTTGTAAGCCCAGCTCCAGCTAGGTCACATTCTCTACGCTCAAGGGAAGGGAATAAATGATTCCAATATTATTTTCTCAATCATACCCACTTAGCTGTGTGACTTGAAAGGCGGCTTTAATGTTGTGGAACCTTTAAAATGTGCTGTAACTGAATGGAATAGTTTGAACGACATGGGGGTAACAGAACTTTGCAAGGGGGATGTGTGAGGAGTGGGTCTGAAGCAAAGTAAGTAGGTGTGCAAACCTTGTTCTTGTCTGGGGACTAGATAGATGACTCATGAACCAATTCTACTTCTCTCCTTCCCGCCACATTTGGTGCAGCGCTCCCTCCACTAGTCCACAAGTGAGCAAGGCTGAGCACTGAACAAGCGGAGGGCCTAGAAGGGATATCTTTAACACGCTAAGACCAGCATAAAGTAGAGCAGAGTGGTTCATGCCCTGTCACCTACAACTACCTTTCTCTCTAAACCTCAGCTGCTTTCAGTGTAAAACAGGCATAAAATAGTACTGACTACCTCATACAGTTGTTTAGAAAGTTCAAGGAGATAATGCAGGAAAAGCTTAGCTATAATGGGTGAAAATTTTCTCTTTTAACCCTCCTCTTCCTCTCCTAATGAAACCTCTCCTGAAGCCTGCTTACCGTAGCTGCGCTGAATGTTCAAAACAACCGTCAGGATCTGTGGTAGGAAATTAGTATAATTTAAACAATTCAGTACACACAAAGGTGTAAATGGTACCTACAGGTGGTTTGGAGGGTGATTGTTCATTTTAAGAGAAGATTCGGCAACTGGTAGAATTTTTAAAAATATGGCAACTTTTTTTTTTCTTTTTGTACGTGGATGAATAAAATTCTTTGATGCTCCCCACCCAACCACTTAAACCCTGCCAGTAGTTCACCGTATAAGGCTGATTTAGGAAGCAGACGTTTAAAAAGCACACTTAAATAACAAACACACCATTGTTTAAAACTTTCTCTATGGAACTACTTCATCCCCCCTTGCACCAGGTGGCTCTAAGATCACAACGACCTTGGCCGTCGTCATTTGGGATGACCCCGCGCTAGAGACATGGGAAGAGCGAAAGACTGAAACTCAGTTGAATTAACAGAGAGAACGTTTTCATTCGAATAAACTTAACCCAGCCGGTAATTCCTCGCCATTTCTGCTAACTTCTAACCCTCTAGAAGGGGAGACCTGTTGGAGTTCAGGACTGAGCGCTCTGCCTCCAGGATGTCCGAGGTTTAGGGCCCCCTCAGCCAGGCACTCTTCACCGCCACCCGCAGGTCTCAGGGAGGCGGCGAGCAGGGCCGGGACCGCGGGGCAAGTTCCCAGCTCTGCTCCCGCCCTCCCCAAAACGCCAGCCAGCGGAGTAGGGGGCGGGCGGACAAATCACAGAAGACTAGGCAGCTTCCGGGAGGTTGGGGAAGCGATCAAGAGCATAGCTCCACCAAAGGCAGCTCTCGAACCGGGTTTTCCCGGTTCCACAAAAACGGCTAAGAAAAAGCAGAGCGCTCAGCAGGGGAGGGCCGCGCCGCCCCAACCTGCTGCAGCGAGGGGGTGGGGCCGACCAGACCTCACCGCCCACACATGGAGGGTGTGGGGCGGGGCCCCAGGAGGCGGGGCGGTGGACGCACCAGGGCCGGGGCCACGCCTGGAGCCGGGTGGCGAGGCGGCGGGAGGCGCCC